TTATATGGAAAGACATACAATTCTTAGCTGTGAGCGCCTGATAAATTGCTTTCTCGACTGTACTAAAATTATTAAGCTTAAGCTTATAAAAGCTTGAATCCGTTTTGGATTCTCAGATTTAAATAGCATAGAATTAATTTTAATATCAGAGTGCCCAACAGTGTCACTGGTCTATTCTATAAAAACAACAAACAAACTTAAAAACCAATGAATACTATCTAATCATAAAATAGTGTAGTCCAGTCCTGGCCTCTCGTTTCCGACGCTCGCGGAATCGCTGGGGAAAGAGAGTCCAGATTAACTTGCATGCGCATGTCAGCTTAGCGATATGGTAATCACGAGGTTACCTAGTCCTATACAATTACCAAGATGGCGGAGAGCGCGGTGGAAGGTAGTTTCCACTTGAAATACAAAGATAATTTTGGACCGGCTTTTCTAAATGCCGTTAGTTATGCCTTAAAAAATGTAAATATAATTTTAGTCCTAAGTTCGAACAGCTTCAAGCCATTCACGAATTAACAATTGGAAAAGATGTTTTTGTAAATCTTAGTACTGGCTTTGGAAAATCCTTGATCTATACTCTCTTTCCCTTTGTCTGCGTGCACGTGAAGTAAACAAACCACTGACCATTATAAATTGCGGGCTCTCAAAATTCAACTTTATTCTGATTGGCTGATCCGCCATCTTGGTAATTGTATAGGACTAGGTAACCTCGTGATTACCATATCGCTAAGCTGACATGCGCATGCAAGTTATACTGGACTCTCTTTCCCCAGCGATTCCGCGAGCGTCGGAAACGAGAGGCCAGGACTGGACTAAAAATAGTGACGACTATTTCAGTTTTTCTTTTTCTTGTGCTGTTTTGTTTTGATTTGCTTTTTTTTCATTTTCCCCTTCGTTCTACTGAACTAGTCTAGACTGATCCTCCTCAATTTTTCGGTTTATCGCACACAAATATCGACAGTTAACTTAAATTGTCTGCCACAATTTGATTATTACGACAGTACTGGAATACGCGCAGAAATTCTGTTTTTATTTCGCGCATGCGAAATGCGTAGACAATAGAATTGACGAGCGAATTGCCGTATTGGAAGAATTTCACAAGATAATAAATATCAAGAGATGGAGTATTAAAGCCAGTTAATAATCCCAGGAATTGAAAGGGTAGCCACATGACTAAACTTAATACAGTTACAACAGCAAGAGTGACAGTTAGTTTCTTGTTTTCTTGG